AACACAAATCTTTAAAAAGTTATATCTATCACCAACAGAATAAATCACTCTTATTTTAAAATAAACAATATGCAAGATTGGAATATATAATAATACATAATAAATCAAAGATATTGTTAACATAACAACAGTTAGTAAAATAAATCATTCTTATTCCAAAACAAACAATCAGTGAAGATTCATTGAAAAAAACAATCAGGAAAATTTGAGCGTGTACATTTTTTATGTAGTCATATCATATGCAACAAATAATATCAGAGCAAATAAAAACCTAATTCAACTCTTTATAAATGAGGTGCCTTACGCCCCATTCCATTTGATAATTTGGTAATGAAAAATTACGTAAAATGTTTATAATGGAAAAAAATCTTTTCTATTTCAAATGACTATCGCCTTTGTGTGTGTTATTCTGTCTGACATATGGATAAAGATCGGAATCTGTAAAAGATTTGCAATTTGACCCAAATGTTTTATTTAATATTAACTTGGTCCATACAATTTCATTAAATAAATAATTAAATTATCCACATACCTAAGTATACGAGTGGTTAAAAAAAGAACACAGCACATTAATTGAAACTGTATTGATGTTAATAAGGAACTCAAAGCTTGATATATATTTTATCTGACATTTTGAAATCATTAAGACCAAATTAATGCTAATTAAAACACCAAACGGATTGAAACTTTGAGTAATAAAAGTTTCATTTTCCCAAATATATATATGGAGCTAAATGACGTAATTTTATGTGTTAATTTGCATAATCCATTCATAACCTTTTTTTTATCCCAAGTCTTTATTAGTAACCATATATTAACATCACCCTATTAGGCAACTATTAACTCAATATTTGTTAATAAACAATTAATCTAAAAGCTGAATTGAGCGGGAAAAAAAAGCTCAACATATAAAGACAGTCATAAATAATTTCATTTTGATCGAATAATACTTCATTTGTAATTAACATTATCAAAACAGAACAAATCATATGTACAAAAGTTAAAGAGAGTGTACCTCTGTAGTTGTCAGATTCACCATGTCAGAATCATCGAAAGATTTAATGCTACAATTGCACAGCTCAACATTATGAAGAGATGACAGATCCATCTTATAATTCTTGGCGCAAATGCTTTTGATCTTCGGCGCATCTGTGATGGAGAGGGTCTCCAAAGCAGGGAGCTCGAAATGCAGCCCTTCGTTTTGCTGATCTTGCTGGTAGTTCCCAACAACATATTTCAATTCAGGAACTTCTGTGATAGTCAAAGACTTCAGTTTTTGAAGACCACCAGACATTGATGATTGAAATACAAATTCCAACTCCCAGCAATACTGAATTTCCAGATTCTCTAGTGTTGGAAAAATGGAACAATAATTCTTATTATCAACTTGAGCATCTCCCTCATGTGTTGTGATGCACTTCAGTTTAGGACATCCCACGATTTCCAAAGACTTCAGTTTTTGAAGACCACCAGATATTGATGATTGAAATACAAATTCCAACTCCCAGCAATACTGAATTTCCAGATTCTCTAGTGTTGGAAAAATGGAACAATAATTCTTATTATCAACTTGAGCATCTCCCTCATGTGTTGTGATGCACTTCAGTTTAGGACATCCCACGATTTCCAAAGACTTCAGTTTTTGAAGACCACCAGATATTGATGATTGAAATACAAATTCCAACTCCCAGCAATACTGAATTTCCAGATTCTCTAGTGTTGGGAAAATGGAACAATAATTCTTATTATCAACTTGAGCATCTCCCTCATGTGTTGTGATGCACTTCAGTTTAGGACATCCCCCGATTTTCAAAGACTTCAATTTTTGAAGACCACCAGATATTGCTGATTGAAATGAAAATTCCAACTCCTCGCAATTCCAAATTTCCAGATTCTCTAGTGTTGGGAAAATGGAACAATAATTCTTATTATCAACTTGAGCATCTCCCTCATGTGTTGTGATGCACTTCAGTTTAGGACATCCCCTGATTTCCAAAGACTTCAATTTTTGAAGACCACCAGATATTGCTGATTGAAATAAAAATTCCAACTCCTCGCAATCCTGAATATATAGATCCTCTAGTGTTGGGAAAATGGAACAATAATTCTTATTATCAACTTGAGCATCTCCCTCATGTGTTGTGATGCACTTCAGTTTATGACATTCCCAGATTTCCAAACTTTCCAACGAAATTGTTGAGGCCGCAATGGATAAAGTTGACAGTGATAATATGTTCCCACATCCCCATAGTTTTATTTTCCTTACATTCTTCAATGATTGCACCAAAAGGCTTTGAGCTGCGTGGCAAAGAAAAACTCCACATGTGGATGGATCTAATTCCTATGAACACAAATCTGGAGAAAGTTATATTTATCGCCAAGAAAATAAATCAATCTTATTCCAAACAAACAATATATAAAATTTAAATATACATTACTACATATAAATAAAAATATTTCAGACAAAACATCAATCGCTAAAATAAATCACTCTTATTCCAAAAGCAAACAATCAATAAAATTTAAAGACGCAATAATTTTTATGCTGTAATATACAACAAATAATATCACAGCGTAACAATGAATCAAAATAATAATATCGTTTCATTTCTTTTCCAAATATACTGTTATACAAAACTAGACGACCGCTTGATTTGTTCTATTACCGCATTCTATATATTCTGCACTCTCTTGACAAAATTTTGAGTAAAATGCTTCAAACACAATAAAACTGTTTAATTTAAAATGTATATTGTCAGTGTGGTATTCAAATTCAACTGTCCAAACAAACATTGGAATCCGTAAAATATTTGCAATAAATCATTCTTATTCCAATACAAACAATGCGTAAATTTTGAATATAGTACATATCAAATCAAAATATTTTTAACATGAAAAATAAAGTCAAATAATTAAACAGTTAAAAAAATCCCTCCTCTCGTGAGAGCGAATTCTCTCCTCCGGTGAGAGCACAAACCGCCCCTTGGTGAGCGGCTTCCATCGGCGTCGTCTCCCCGGCGGCGGCCGGGGGAGAGTGAGTCTAGTGTGTGTGCGTTGGTGTGTGCGTGAGTTAGAGATTTTGCAAGATCTGAAGATGAGGGCAAGTTCTGAAGTTTTGCTGGTTAGGGATTTGAAGGTGGGAGATCAGTGGGCAGCACGATTAAGAGCCTCAACAAGAATGTCGAAGAGGAAAACGGAATGGCCGAGCGCACAATGGAAATCAATGGGAATAGCACCAGAGATGGTGAAATCTGAAAGCTATTTTGCTCAGAGGAGAATGGGTGAAGGAGAGTTCTATGTGTTGCGAGCAAATCAGTTGTTTCTTCAAAATAGATCTATGAGCGATGGATAGATGATTCTCAAATTAAAGCTAATCTTGCACTGTCACCTTGATATAAGTCTATTCCGTGGGATTCTTTTGCCTTGGCCTTGCGAGGTAACAAGATCTGGTACTCTTTCTTCAAATAGCCTCTTTGTAAAGTCCTTTTGTTCGTATGGTTTGATTGCTGGTTATGAAGTATGTGTTGCACTGGTTGGTCTGATTTATGCTTCTCGGTGGTTTTGGAATATGAGGAAAACCTTGGTTTCTGTTTAAAATGATTGTTGCTGCTGGTTTAAACCATTGGTTTTATCTGAGATAGTGCTTGCCATAGTTTTTTCAAAGGTGATAGGGGGGCTTTAGTTTGTTTTCCTTTCAAGACAAGGATATGTTGGAGGAAGATGCCGTTAACTTGGGATTTATTGGCAGTTCATTTGTTTACTTTACTGCAATCTTTACTGAAGGGAAGGTCCAGAAGTTTAGTTTCTTTGTGGCAATCAAAAGGGCCTCACTAAAAATTAAGGATGATTTAAGATGGATGCCGCCTGGATGTCTTTGGTCTGTTTTTTATTTTAAGAATTTAGTGGTAGTAGTTGCTGGGATTGATGGTTCTGGTTTAAGAGGGAGGTTTGCTTCTGCTGTGGCTTTGAAGATTGGTCACTGGTTGACTGGAAATCTAGAGGAAAAAAGCTTCTGGTTCTCTCTGTTGATTTTGATCAGCTTGGCTGTGATTGGTGGAGCTTCTTCCATGAGAGCCTTTTCCCTATGGAATTTGTCGCTCTCTATTGCAACTTAGCTTCTTTGGATGAGCTAAGGAGTTTTGTAATGGGTTTGTGGCCTCTATGGTTGGGTTTTATGCCCCCAATCCCAGTAATTTCTTCTTTTGTTTGTTCGTTGCTCCTCTAGATGGATTGTTAACTGGTGCTCTTCTTGGCTTGCCTGGTTTTGTGATTGTTTTGGTGTGCAGCTTCAAGTACATTAAGGGAGTGTGTTCTTGGATGGATTTTTCATCATCTCCCCTTCTCTCTCACGGTTTGTTCTCAGCTGCTGCTATAGGAGTGAACCAGATCTATTTGTTCTCAGCTACTGCTACAGGAGTGAACCAGTTCAGTGTTGTCTTTGGATGTTTTTCGCATTCTTGTTTATGCTTTTTCATAGTTTTTTGGGTTTCTGTTGTTTTCTTTGCCTTTAAACTTTGAGTCGTTCTATTTTGTTTTTATGATTTTATACTTCTTCTGGCCAAAAAAAAAAAGTCTAATACTTAAACATAAAAGTAAATTACTTCAAAATGTTAAATAAATTGAATGCGGTGTTATAATTATTAATATTAGCATGAGAAGTAGTAGTTAACGAAGATCACAGTCCATTTAGGTGGAACTTCATTGATCCATAGATGTCAGTAAGGTACTCGAACCTTGAAAGATGTTTCATTTGACATTTTGAAATCGTTAAGATCAAATTAATGGTAACTAAAACATCAAATTAATTGAAACTTTGAGAACTAAAATTTTCAAATTTTTTTTTTCAAATGAATATGGTGCCAAATAACGTTTTCATGCGCTATTTTAAATAATTGATTCATAATGTTGCTAGTTATCCTGATAGTTTTAGAAGTTGTTATAATAAATTTCAGAGGTTAATTCGAACACATGTAATTTTATTTTACGTCTTGTTATTTTGTTCAAGGTCGTTTTTGGTAACAAATGCTAATATCAACCTAAAAAATTAGTACTTCACTTTTGAATAGTATATCACAACACGGATCACAATAGATATTTACTACCACAATAGTAAACCATCTATTTAAGAGAGATATTTGAACAAAAATAGTGAGGCAAGTGTAGCATACCAGTGGGATTGTGTGGTCATGCTGTCTTTGTTCAGAAACAGTAATTTTGGTGTCTTCACTGGCGGGCCTCGATTTATTGAGAGAACAACATGCTTGAACCCAGGAGAAAGCACGTCTGGCAGGACTTTGATTCATGTTGTTGGAACAATTATGTCTTGAATGTGGAGATGATGGCTTCTGCATTGATGAACTCACGAGTTGGTGATGTTCTTTGCACATTCCAATGAAACTTGGTACCCCAGAAAGTTCCAGCTCTTCCAGTGAGGGGAGCATAGCATCTTCGCCCTCTTCAAACTTATCAAATATGTATTCCAGCTGCTCACATTCATATATACTCAACATTTCCAAAGATGAAAGACCTCCAGCGAATAGGATTGGCAATATTATTCTTAATTTGCTGCAAAATTCAATTTGAAGTTTTTTCAATGTTGGGAATAATGAGTCATGGTAACTTTTTTGGTTACTACCACTGTCTTCACTCACTATAATGCATTTCAATGCACTACAGTTCCTAATTGTTAATTTTTCCAACTTCATCAGACTTCGTGCAGTGGAGAGTTGGAAAACTGACGCCAACATTGGACAATCTTCCAGTTTCATGGACTTAAGATGACATAAGTTGTAGTTGCCATTAGATAATATGCTCTTCAGTCTAAGACACTCATTCAACTTCATAATCTCTAATTGCTCCAAAAACCCAGATGGTGGAGGATCCCGACATAAATCTTCAACACCTACTTTAGAGAGATGTAGTTCAACCAGATTACGGAAAGCAGCCACATCAGAATAATCATGATCTTTAGAATCTATGAGGCACTCCATGGTAGGACACGAACTCAAATGAAGAACAATCAAATCATTCATCAATTCTCGATCAGCTGTTGCAACAATATCAAGGATAAGATTTTTCCATATTCTTTGCGCATCCTCTCCTTCCAAGATAAGAAGTTCAGCTCCTCTGGCAAGTTGCTTAAATGTTGCCTCTGAGACTAAATGACTTAATTGATCATCCATTTGAAGGCATCTCGACACGAAGTCATACTTCTCAAGATAAACTGAAAGGTCCCAAGAAGATATACAATATCTGTGTAATGTAAGAGGATATCCATTTTGAGAAATTGCATCTTTTTCTTCATTGTCACACCTATTATTAACAAATTTTAACTCTTCTAGCTGTGAGCATCTCTCCATCACTTCAAAAGGATTATTCTTTTCAATTTCACATCTCTCTACCTCCAATGATCTCAACTTGTTTAGTTTCAAAAATTCACTTGGTAATTCATTGATTGAACAATCATCAAACCAAATAGTCCCAAGACTCAACAAGTTTCCGAAGATAGAGATGTCACCTAAATCCAAATTCTTGAGAACGAGTGTTCGAATGTCCTTCAATGATTGGAGTGAATTCATCCACAATAGAGCTGGAGTTCTTTCGTAATAATAAGTTCTAAATAAAACCAAAACTTTGAGCCTCATCATCTCTTTAAAGAATGCACCCGAGACCTTGAACTCCTTTGAACCATCTAAAAATATTAATAGAACCTCCAATTTACTTCCGTCAAAGTTAGTCGTAAAGTCATCATTCTTCCAAAGCAAATATCTCAAGCTCTCTTTCATAGGCATTTTCAAATCTATGAGAGATTGAATATCTCTATCTCCTATCCACAAAGCCACTTCACGAATTGAATCATGCATCTCTACACATTCATCCCCTCCATGCAACAATAAAGAGAAATCCATGAGTTCCATTATAGCTTCATACACTTTGCTTCTTGCTAAATGGTATCTATCATTTTCCTCAAAAGAACCCAACCCGATACCAATTTTGGTTAAAACTTGTATAGGAACTTGGTAATCTTCTGGGAACAAAGAAGATATAAGAAAAAGCTCTTTGGACTTTTGATTTTTCAAGTTATCGTAGCTTAACTTCAAGCATTTATAAGCCCCTTCCAAATGCTGATCAACAGCACGATCTTCCAAGGTTTTCAAAGCATCCTTCCAAATTGTTGCTGGTTTGTTTTTTAATGCTCTAGCTATTGCTACAATTACAACTGGTATGCCTCCACAATGCTCCACAATTTTTTCTGGCATACCTTTCAAACCACGAGGGGAATTATTTAATTTGGCATGTGCTTCAAAAAGTTTCAATGCCTCTTTCTTGTTTAACATCTGTAGTTCAATCATTCGGCATTCCATTTCCATACAAACATTTGAACTACGTGTGGTTATCAATAAAGTACAGCCCTTGTGGTCAGATGGAATCCCCAAGTTTTCTCTCAAATCAAACTTTTCCCATACATCATCTAGTATTATAAGTAACTTTTTGCCTATTTCAGTGATTCTGGAACATATTGTATTTGAGAGTTCTTCTTCCTTCTCTTTCTCTAAATTCAAATCTAAACCTTTTGCAAGTTCGCCACGAGTCTTTTTGAAATCAGGAGGCTTGGAGACAACGAGAAAGATGAATTTGTCAATCAAGTTAGATTCTTTTAGCTTATGAGCCACTTCTTTTGCCATTGAAGTTTTGCCCGCTCCCCCTATCCCTTGCAATCCAATCATATTGCAATTATTATCTTGTAATGCCTTCAACAGATCTTGGAACATTGACTCTCTGCTGTTAAAACGAAGAAAATCTTGTAAAGGAAGGTGTTTTATGTCCGGTATATTTGCTCGACCAGCTATTATATTGGACTCACATCTTCCTAGTAGAGCTTCAATATGCTGAGTCTCCTTTGCTAACTCCTTGCCTCTTCGGTACTGCCACCAGCAATTAGGACAACGGCCACCAAGAAATCTCTTCTTTATTTTACTGTCTATATGGATGATATCATCTGCTTCATCTACCCATTGCTGCGCTTCAGACTTAAAACTGAAGACTCCTTTGCCTTTCTGAAACTCTCTCTTCACATCCTGATACTTTGCTGCTAGTATTTTCTTTTTTTGATCAAAATTTTCAACATAATTGTTGAAACAACAGAAATATTGAGCTTCATTTTTTACCAGATTCACCAAACTTTGGACTTCGTTATTTGCTATGCCAAAGAGGCAGCCCTCCATCTAACATGGATACAAACTAATTATAATCAGTCTGTGACTATCATATTACTGGGGTTTCAGTTGTCAAATCAGTGTATCCCTAATAATTAAATCATAAAGATGCTGTCCAGTGACTTAAGATCTTTAAAAATGAAAATTAAAAGTACTGAACAGTTGTAAATTAATTTGCAATACAATGTAATACTATTTTGTTTTATTTTCCAAGCCGTGCGTCTGGTCGCTATCATGGCTATTAAAATGGTTATTCATCCATCAAATCAATACCAAACGTTCTTTTTAATTTCAAGATATATGTTTATCAGCAAAGTAATTCAATCTCCAGCGTTTAACAAATAACAAAGCCTTTATGAACCTTGCTTGTTAAGGCAGATTGATCCTATTTGAGTTAGCTGTTGTATTTTACAGTAAACACTAAATTAGCCATTCGCATATAGTTCCAAAACCATCGATCTCAGCCTTGTCCTCCATATGGCTTCTAATGGAAACTTCTGCTATTGGAGATTTTTAAAGAATCATTCGGTGATGGGAATTTTGAAAATCAATTATCTTATTTTTCGTCTTCGATTTGCCAATGAATCTTTCGTCAGCAGATTTTTCCTTCAGTCAAAAATCTTGATCAAGTCCAATAGGCTTTATGTCCTTTTGTGACCTTTTGCTATGGGAGGTAATTATCAAAAATCTTGACCACTTTTTTTAGCTATTAGCTACATTATTTTAAAAACTCTGATAATTACTCTTATTTAGCTACTGACTGCTCTAATATTGTGATTAACTATTTTTATTTTTAAAAATTTGGTGACTACTCTTATTTAGCTATTGACTACTCTAGTTTCGCTATTAACTACTTTTATTTCAAAAATTCAAAAAAGGCATTAAATGTTGTGGGAGATCTAGTGATTACTTTTTATTTAATTATTTACTATTCTTGTGTAGTCAATAGCTATACAAAAATAGCCATCAGAACTTTGAAAACAAAAGTAATCAATAGTAAAATTAGAGTTGTTAATGTAAGAGTAGTCACTGGGAATGAGGGCAATGTTGTCATTTCAGAACATTTTAAAATTTCAAAATAGTACAAGATTTGGGATTTTGAAATTCACTCACCCTAATTTATCTTTTAACATTTTTGAAAATATTTTAGTGTCTTTTTCTCATTTAAGATTTAGATTGCATGACAAAAAGTGTTATGAAAGCAAATGGCTCATATATTCTATCATTAAAACCACTTTGTTTTAACTTGGGAAAATGATATTTAAATATCATTTTAAAATCAACTGTGATTTCTAAAATTTACAACTGTAATTAGTTATATATTCATGCAAGGTCCTCAAGTCGTTTTCCCATTTTAAAAAGATCATGTTATTTGAGTTGTCTTTTGTAGTTGCTGGATCTTCCTATTCATATTAAATTGGACTACTTTTAGCTGCAACAGTGGTGATAAATGACAAATTCTTGATACAATTGTTTTAGTATTTTAAAGATTTTAAAATTTTCTAATTTTAAAGATGTTATTTTCCAAAACTGTCCGTATTGAAATTATTAAATAAAGTTATTCATTCATCAAATTAATACAAGCATCTTTACAGCTGTTTTAGGTCAGCCGTTCATGATTCAGTGTTCGAACCGTCGAAACGATGACATAACAGTTAAATGAAAATTTTATAAAAATAATTATATGTACATAATAATATATATAAATAAGTATAATTATCAACTTAATAACATTCCATATATATATATAAAGTTTACAATTAAATAACACCATACTGCCAGAAATGGTATGGAAATATGTTGAATTTTTTAGGCTAAATTATACAAAAACCGCATAAGCTATGGGGCAATTGCAAATAATCTCCCTGGTATTTTAAAGTTTAAATTTAACCCTCCTAATCTTTTATTATTTTCTTATGGACACCTTGCTGTTAAGTTACTATTATATTTTTAACAAAATTTGTCATATCATATCAACACAAGACACCTCGCATCTTATGTGGCATCTTACATGGCATCTCATCTAATATAATCATTTTATAAATAATTATATTATTTTATATAAGGATTGCAATGTCATTTTATCATTTAAGAAAAAACTCTTGCTCTTTTTTATTCTTATATTTTTATCTTTATAAAATTTTAAATAACATTTTTCTTCTATTTTTTACCACACAAAAATTGATATTTTAATTAATAGACGATCATCAAATTTTTAATAATTCATTAAGATTGTAAAATAAGATCATAATATTGTAAAAATATTAAAGTGAAAGTAATGAGTTGGTTTTGATAAGCATTAACTAGGAAGAAAACAGTAAAAGATAAAGGGAGTTGAATTTAATCTTGGGAGAATTACAATGAGATCCCAAACAAAGAAAATAATTAAAAGACAAGTCCTAGAGGTTGTCATTCTCACTGTGGAACTTGTTATTATAGGCTGCTGAGATTGTTATTGGGACCTTTCGGTAATTGTTTCTCTTCTGTGAGACTTGGTTGTAATTCCCCCTTTAATCTTCGGGATGTCAGATAGGTTATATGCAATCGTCCCAAAGTTCAGGAGGTTTTGTATAATTTAGCCAACTGTTCATATGGTGAATTTTTTTTTATAGGTTTTCAAATTAAATTTTTTCAGCTGCTGGTCAAAAAAAAAATTAATTTTTTCAGCATATTTTCTAATAGATCAAAAAAACTGTCCAATTTTTTTTAAAATCGTTTCAGTTCTCGATCTAACTTTAGGTTTCAGCTATTATTGCTAGCTCAATCCTGGTCTAATCTGGCTCAACCACCAAAATGATTTTTTAATCCAAACCAAGACATTAGTTCTCTAATCCAACCCGTAGACTGGTCGGTCTCGTCCAATTCTTTAGTCACTACTTTAAAGAATCATTCATCAATGAGAATTCCTGGAGTAAATGAGAATCACTATCACGGGCTTCACTTTTTACTCATCTGTGATTTGCCAAATAGTCTTTCTTCAGCCGATTTTTCCTTCTTCCAAAAATCTTGATCAAGTCCAAGAAGCTTCACGTCCTTTCGTGACATTTAGCCATGGGAGGTAATTATCGCATCTTACTTATTTACTGCTACCTCTATATGCATATCTCAATTATACTTAGGTTTATCCAATTAAGCTTCCAACATAATTCCCAAAAGAAAATGGTACTTAAGACTTATCGCAACATGTATTCCAGCAATAGGCAAATTAACAATAACCATATATGTAAAAACAAAACGATGACGAAGTATGATATTTTATACTGACCTCTTTCTCAGATGTATTAGAACACCAAAGTATTTGATGAAGAGCAGAATAAAACGAAGAATCCACCGAAAACAAGTCCTGCAAATTAAAAATATTTCACAATACCGTGTTTAATTTAATCAGTTCCAAACTCTCAAAGTTCTGGTATATAACTGAGAATGTTAGAAGTCATCATCAAAGAGTTAAAAACATAAGTATCACAAGAAAATAGGGGAAATGCAATTTTTTTGGGTTAAAGAAACTAACACAGCTATTTCATATTCAAAGCCGAGTAGAGAGAATAATGAAGAGAAACTAAAGGAGATTCTTAGACAATAATATCATAACACAATTCGTGTGAAACAAGACCATAATTAATAAATTTAATGGCAAGGAAATGAATAAAAAATAAATAATACGTAACTAGGATGGTGCACAAAGCCCACATATCTAATAAGACCACCCAAGCCTGCAAAAAAAAAAAAAGCCTAACCCAACCCAACAAAAAGCTGTCCAAACAAAAATAAACATTTTCGGGCCGGGCTCACAGGCAGGGCAAGGTAGGGCAGGGCTGTGGGCAGGGTATACTGCCCTGCCCATTTGGCCTTACTCGAAAAGATATATACTTATATATAATATAACATTATTTTAAGCAATTATCCCTTTTATTTTGGCTAAAAATATTAGGTAAAATTAGGGAAAAAATGAAAGGAACATGAAAATTATAATTATATAAAAGAACCAAATATCAAAATATAATATTAAATATGCTAAATTACTCCAAGTTAAATTTCCTTCTTTTTCTCTTATCTCCAATTTTTTTTAAAAAAACAAAATAAAACAAAATAAAACCACCTTTCAAATCTTGTGCTTTCACATGACTATAAAGAATTTGCCAACTAATTGAGTGAACAAAAGAATTGAACTACATAATTAGCTCAATTATTAAATGTTTTAGTTATTAAATATTTTTTTATCTCCCATAAGAAATCAAGAACAAGACTACATAAGCCTTATATAAATATATATATATATAAATGAGTGATTGAGTCATTCATGGTAAATTTCTTTCCTCTCACTTGTCTCAAAACATGATAATTAACTTTTCTTTTTCTACATATGATATGGGCAAGATGTTATTAAATTGGACAGAAAAGCCCGCCTTGCCTAGCCCAGCCCACCCTTATCCAGCCCAAAATGGTTAGGGCTTTTACCGGGCAGCGAGCTGTATTTCAAGCTAGGCATCAAGTAGAGGGCTTGCCCTGCCTAGTCCTGTCCATGTGCAGCCCTGATATAACATTTAAAGTGATAATTAGTGACTAAGCACTAGGAAGGTTGGCCACTAAATAAAACATGTAGAAGAAGGAAAGTAAACCATCCTGAAGATAGTTTAACGGGGTGTCTCACATAATTTATTTTGGATCATCACATAAACTAATTTTTAACATGGCGATACAATAAATTAAATTTCCCAGTTCAATAATTGCACACACATATCTTTAACGTCTTAAAGTATTTTGTAATTCTCATTCCTGCAAGGTACTATGCAATTAGAAATTTCATAATTTCATTCTTATAAAATGTATTTATTGCTAATTTGAAATATACTTGAACCACTTTGTCACTTTTATTAGATAATGAATTCAATATTAAATAATGAATTAATATTATGATATTATAATGCTTGCGCTGGTGCACGTTCTTTTATTTAGCTCACTCGTCTGGCTCAATTTGGTTCCAACCATTGAAGGACCAATAATGCTCT